ATATGTATACTTATTGTCAACTAGTTATTTCAATTAGTAATTTTATTTTTTATTTTTTTTTTTTTGCATTTATGAAACTTGCCCGAAACAGGCATTATATGAATGTAGATGTATTATATACTGTGCTTGTACTAATAATACATAAAGATATTTGTATGTCTTATTTGTTGGATTGGGGCGGGTTGTGTGCGGTAGCGCTGGATGTGATATTTACACGAGTTGTTAAGACAAAAGTGTAAATATAACAGCTGGTGCGGGCGGACAGAATGTGCTTTTCCCTTACATGTAAGATAAACAAGTTTACTACTGCTTTTGTGCTTGTGTGTTAGGTCTGAGAGACTGATCTTTGCCATGTAATGTCAAATAATTGAAAAATGTTACATTAAATTATGAAGTAACATTGTCATTATATGTATGTTATCTGAAAATTTCTCTGAATATTGTTAAGTGTTAAAAATAATATCCGTCTTCTTATGTAACTCTATCTCCTGAGAAAAAAAAAATTTGGAATTTGTTTGTGATATATTTTTCTCATTCGCATTCGAGCAAACATCAGGTATAATGAAAAATATAAATGATATATGACATTGTGATATGTCAGATATAATTTTCCTTTTTTGGTCTTTGCGAAGCATATGGATATTCTTATTAGGTCATGAAGTTCTAGTCACTGGTGTTATTAATTTGTGCAATCAATAGCACACTTCGTAAGATGAAGTAATGCGAATTGATAGAGTATGTCATAATCAGTATTAAAAAATTAGATCATGTTTATAACTATACTTTTACTTAGAGAGTTAGAAGCATACACGATTATAACATTATGTTAGTACATTGTATGTAGTAATAATTTTCAACATGATTGTACACTGTTTAAAATGTTGTCCTCATGGGCTTTTGGCCTTCAGGATATTTTATGAAATAAAACTTTGAAACTTTGAAACATTAAAATAAAGGAGATATATGTACGGAATAATATGTAGTAGTAGCTTTTTAAGGCTTTGTATTTTGCTACAAGCAGTGATGGAAAATTGATATCTCGCGAGACCGAAGGTCAAGTGAGATATCAATTTTCCAATGTTGCAAGTAGAAAAATACATAGCCTCAGAAAGCTACTATAACATAATTTTACTTTTATTATATACCTTTTCGTTTTTAGTAAAAATGATTTTCATTAAACTACACTTCTATAAGAAATTTCAGAAAATAGAAAAATAAATTTATGACTGACGGATGAATACGTAATTTATGCAAAACCGGCGACGCCTCTTATAATTTTGGTTTCCGTTTTCTAATGCTATGTAAAACACAGCTAAGATCGGAACCAATGTCAAAAATAATCCGGCATTTCCATATATGGTTCCGTATTTGTCACTAACATAATACGGAATTTTCTATCCGTTGGAAGAATTTATAGGTATAAAATAAAATTTAGAAAACGGTTTTGACACAAATATGACTTGAAACTCTCGTGATTTCTACTTCAAACTTGTACTCATTTACATTATCATATTAAATCTGGTCCTGAATGATAAAAAGACATTTTCCTCATTTATTATTGTGTTATAGTAACTTTGTTATAACCAAAATAGACTTGCAATTTCCCACCGGAATAAACAGTATTTAAAAGTTTTCAAGAATTTAAAATTTTCTATTTTTAGAATAGTGATTTAATAAGAGGTTTTAAAAAGAGAAAGTAGAAATTTTAAAAAAGCAATCACTAAAAGAAGTAAACTGTGTGGGGAATAGCCAACTCCCTAAAAAAGACTACCCAAAAAATTACCTCCAAGAAAACCAAAATACCAAAGGTTTTTTTCCTCCGGTCTTTACCCTGACAAGTTGGGAGAAACTATCAATTTAAATTTTTTGGGGAAAAAATATGTTTTAAAAAGATAAAAAAACAAAACCCATTTTTTTTGAAAAAAAATTTTCCCTTTTTTCAAAAAAACCGTTTTTTTTTTCTTTATTTTTGTTTTTTTTTTTTTTTAAAAAAAAATTGTTTTTTCTTTAAAAAAAAAAAAAAAAAAAAAAAAAAAAAAAAAAAAAAAAAAAAAAAAAAAAAGAAATAAGAAAACAAATGTATTACATAGGCAAAACAAACTGAATTTGAGCTTCATTATATTTAATTTAAAAAACAGAGATAAGAACTACAGAAGTATTTTTTTTCTAAAATAGCACACATGCCTTACTTAAAAGCTAACACTAAAAAACAGCTAAAAATAAACACTGCCATCAACAAAAACATCAAGTATTTACGGCACAGAAGACATATATACATGCAATATGTCTACAAAACAACACATCGTTGATACGTTACTGATGAAAAACTAAGAAAATCATGAGTGATCTAAGGAAGCTTTTGAAAACATAAAATAAATTAGGTTAACTAGCAACGCTAGAGTGACTATATTGTTATTGAAGTCAATATTTTGAAAATCATTGTCGTTCAAAAGAGAGAAAAAACAAACACAGTCTCCAGCTAAAAATTTCCTAGTTAACTTTAAGAAACTGTATACATTGTATAATGTGTATATTTAATAACGTCCACAAATTGTTTGTTTTTTTTTTTGTTTTTTTTTTCGAAGAATAACCGACTTTATATGTAATGGAAATATCATAGTCTTTCTTAATGAACATACCCTCAACCCACAGCATGTCGAAAAAGGGAATGTTTAACTTAGAAGAACGATTAAATGTTATAATCAAAAGTTTTGTTAACAACACAATGCACTCTGTCTCGCCAGTAAATTCAAGTTGATGCCTCCAACAGTTTTTGAGATAATTATGAGTTTAACAAAATCAAAGTATGAAAAAAAGAAGAAAAAAATCAACAACAAAGGGGACTTTCTAAAATGTAGCTATGATAGCAAGAAGTATGTTTCTTTCTGCCCGCCAAGCTATATGAAAATTTGATTTCGATACCTTTCTTTTAAGTTTTAAAATTTACAATGGGCAAATACTGAAAATTATGAAAGTCAGAATTATGAATTCATGATTTTTCACACTTTTCCCTGTCTCACCATGACCTGTATATCGATACAAGATTTGTACCATATTGGAGGTATGGACAGTATAAAATAAACGTGGCGGGACGTGACATTGCGTGTTTCCAATAAAGCGTCCACAATAAGTGGTGGGGTTAAAACTTGAAAATTATCGAGCGTCTGAAACAAGTGTGAAATGGTAACGCTCGTATTCCAAAAATGTCTGAATATTTCCATAGACAATAACGAAGAAAACCAAATCACTAGTGTTTGGACATTTTGCATTTGCTAAACTGTACTACTTTCCACTCGGAACGAACGCTGTTTTGCCATGAAACCTCTTTGTCTTCTAAACTGGCTCCGAAAACTTGACAAATATGTATTGCTGATGCTCTTGCAACTGCTTTGCAGTTGAAACCATTCGACAGCACGTCCTTAATTCCTACAAGTAGCTTTACTAGAATTTAAACTGAAAACATTAAAAGTATGTGTTATCTCAATTGAAATGAAATACATATATATACAAAATGAAATACAAAAAATTCCTTAATACATAACTGTATACAAAAGTTTATATACAAATAACATGTACTTTGTACTTGGTATGTGACCTAAGTTATTGATACTGAACAAGTGAATAAAGTTTCAATATTATATCATAACTGGTTTATGGGACCATATTTCATAAACCATCTGACAAAACATTTTAGCTTTAAAAATGTACTTTGTACTTGGTATGTGACCTAAGTTATTGATACTGAACAAGTGAATAAAGTTTCAATATTATATCATAACTGGTTTATGGGACCATATTTCATAAACCATCTGACAAAACATTTTAGCTTTAAAAATGGGCATAAGTATGTCCAGTTGTGCGCCACTCATACGAAACTTGGTCATTGATCTTCGATGTCAACACTTAATATGTGTTCCAAGTTTCAAAGGAATCGCTAAAATAGTGTTTGAGAAACCATTTTTCATGAAAATTCTAAACAATGAATTCAAAATCGAAAAAGAGGCAGAATTTGATAACAATGCAATTCAGAGATTTCTAACTTAGAGCGTGTTCTAAACAAGTGTGTGAAGTTTCAAAGCTGTATGATTTATTGTTTTTGAAATACCATGTTTCATGAAACTTCTTAACCACAGATTTCTTTGTCAAAATAAGGCCTATAATTTGGTCTATATTCAAAATAAGATGGACGAAGAATGAAGAACTACGGGGTGAAAACCGATTGTAACTGCAGCAAACAACAATGCGAGACTGGTTCATATAAAAATAAAGCGTTTGATTCATACGCTGTATGTCAATTTGAGATTATATATCCCTGTTCCGGAAATTTAAAATAAAAAATAGATACCCAATGCAATGCAATGCAATGCAAGCAAAGTATTTTCTTTTCTTAATCAATTTAAAAGGCTTATATAGGAATAACATTCTGTTCTTGCATATGTGCCCACATATTTTGTTTTTTAAATAAGTCTCCAGGAAACTTAGGTAAATGAACTTACCTCGTCTGAATCAATGTCATATTCTACCATATTTTCCTTGGAAATTATAATTAAAATGGCAAGCACGTGGGAAATAACAAAATCCATAAGTCAAAAATCAAAAGTCATAAATCAAAAGTCATAAATCAAAAGTCATAAGAAAATATTAAAATAAATGTATAAGTCGAAACTCAAAAGTGACCCTCCAATGCTTCCATAGAAATATGTTATATGTTTATAGTTTTGACCTCACACAAATTACATATCTTTAAATTCTACACACTATAGATGGTCACAATACGAATATATAGCGTCATTGAAAAAAAACGGAAAAAAACTGGCAGTTTATTTAAGAAAAGGCCAACTTTACTTGACCTGTAATAGGTAACGCAGCTTCCCATACCTAGTTTATTAAATCTTTTATTCAAATTAAACCTATTTAGTAAGAATTTCATAGATTTCAATAATTTTTTGTCGTTACAATAATTTACTCAATGATGAGCATAGTATTTCTTAAACTTTCAGCTATTCAGATTAAAGTTGCTCGTGCTACGGTTGTGTTGTCGACACTTCCAACTGTAATGGCTGCGGGATTGGCTTTTCTGAACTTTGTCAGGCGAAGGGACAGACGCTCGCTTCTTTTAGCTGCCGGATTATTAAGTACAGTGGCCGGTAAGTGATAACGGATATTACAAAGACGATGTGAATATTGAAGGCAAGTGTTTAATTTATGTTCATATAAAACAACAAAGTATAAAATCACTTGAATCTGGTCAAATTTAAAAAATCACAAAATACATATACTCGAAAAAGCATAATTTGGCCAATCACAAAAAATTTTAAGTATCTTATTTTAAGTAATGAAGAGTTTGAAAAAGACGGGATAAAATACATACTTTGTGCATGTAATAAAACAGCTACATGCTGTAATAATTGTATTGTATCATAGTTTTGGGGACTTTTCTGTTGAAAAAAGTGTCAGAGTTAAATCGTATACATATACATGCACAGTGCGGTAACTGGAGTGCAGGTATCAGTTACCCGCACTCCAGATAATGCCCGTTGATTGGTTCATTTTTGCTGGGGTTTACTTATTGTGACGGCAGAGAAAGGGAAAGGGGCAGAAATATCATATTAAAATGCTCGTTTATTGGTTCATTTTTTCTGGGGTTTCATATTATGACAACAGGGAACGTGCTGTCATGTTTGACTATGATACAAAAGAGGAAAGAACACCAAAACACTCGGCAATCTGATTTATACTCGGGGGCTACGCCCCCTCGTACAAATCAGATATCCTCGTGTTTCGGTGCTCTTTCTATTACTTATTACTCAATAAACATTTTAAGTACGCAAGGTATCTTCTAAGTGTATAGGGGAATTTGAAACAAATGACGGGTTCCTATAAAATTCCAAATGGCACACAAAGGTTACTTCTCTTTCAATACACAATGAAGATAAAAGGGGAGATAAAGAGGGCATGAGATGAAAACCTTTTTGACAGGTTTGTAGGACACTAATTTGATTGAATATAACGATTTTTAACCCTAGAGGGGTTTGATTTCCCAAACCCTCATTTTTCTGATTGGGTTTTGGGAGTAAAATCGGAAAAAAAAGACGGCTTTTTAATGAGACATCTAAAATAAGAAATTGTAAAAATTCTATTTAAATTTGAATGTTTTCAACCCCTTAAATGGGGTTTTTTTCCCGAAACGAATGCCTATGAGTGGGAGAATATTGATAAACTTTTCAGTCATTATTCATGTTTTTGTTTCATTCTTTCAGGTCTAATGTCTATTGTTGGCACTGTAGTATTTGTAGTTGACAACCAAATTGAGAAGTACTTTGAAGATGAGGACGGAAGTATTCAACATTTAGATTTAAAACCACACGCCAGTTTTGCTCTTTGTCTCACTTCCGGTCTTCTGAATCTGACAGGAGCTTTGTTATACATTATAGACGCTTTTTGTGTTAATAGGAATCGTGTAGCGAATACGGAAACCCGTACGGAAATACAAATTGAAAACAGAATGTGTCGATAATTAAGGGGAATACATTTTTGTACTTGTACATAATATAGTAAGCTTATCGAAAATAGATCGATGGTTCTAGTCATTTGCAGAAAGGGTCGCCTGAGCTATTCAACCACAGTAAAGATGTGACCGTTTTGCCGTTTTGTACACAAATAAAGGGAAATAACTGCTACGAAGATCATCTTTCCTGTTTGCACACAATTGTCCCCCTTGTGTATATATTAATATATTATATTAATATATCGACAGTATATTTTTATTAGACCGTTATAACAAACATACGAACAAGAAAGCAACAAATATACAGACAAACAAAAAATATCTAACTAACGTCAAAACAAAAAGAAATAAGAACCAAAAACGTTGCCTCTTACGGTTAAATGTATCGAAATCTTGACCATGCACAGTATACAGAAAACGTGTATACATATGAGTTTAATATAGCTACAGATCTTTTCCCTACACAATGACAACATACATTTGTATCTAGAATCTGAAAAATTTAAAGATACCACATAATTCACTTTTCAACAGGAACCGTAACCTCGATACATATGCGGAATAATTTTAATAATAATTTTGAACACATTAATTATGTGACATGCGTCTGTGTGATACGGTCAAGTACTTTGACACATTGTAAATCAGCAATGACTTATTTCCAAAAGATGACAGACAACTTTTGTAACAATTTCTTTATATTATGCATATTATCACATGTATAATGTTCCACTCATGCCACAACATTGTAATGCTATAACCAATAGGAAACGAGCATGCAAGTGATTTTCTTTTTTCAGGTTTCAAAACAAGCTTTGGCTTACTGAAGGGGGAAATATAGCACGATAAATCAGAAAAGGTGAAAATCAAATCCCAACAACTGAGAATGGAAATTTACCCACGCCTTTTATAAATTTTTCAATTTAACATGCACGGTAGCGGGTACTTAACGGAGGCTATATATATATCAAAAGTGCTAGTGGCATTGATTTGACCTAAAATGTGTTTAACCTTGTTATTTATGCACTAAAACATCAATATATTAAAAAAAAAAATAAAAAAAAAAATTTCACTGTTATATTATTATAGTCTATAATAATATAACAGTGAAAAAAATTTTTTTAATACATGCATAAATAACAAGGTTAAATACATTTTAGATGAAATCAATGCCACTAGCACCTTTGTTTATATATGGGACAGTTTGATATAACTCAGCTGCTTCCTGGTCAAGAATTTGCACAGAGCATTTTCAGGGGAAAATATAAGCATTTTTAGGGAGAAAATATACCTTTTTTGGGCTTGGGGAAACAGCCTTTATTCGGCTGTAAAATACAGGGAAAATCACTGCATGCAATTAATTGTTACTATGCTTTTGCCAAGGTAAGCTGAGAAGAGATGTGTTCCTTGACCTTAACCAATGTATAAGTGAACAGATGACTTCATATACCTTTACAAAAATATAGTATGAGCAGTTGTGTTCCTTACAGTGTAAACAGTTGTAACCCGTACAAACTTTATCAAAATTATGTGTGAATAGTTGTGCGGCTACACCATTACCAAGATAGCATGTTAACAAATACGTTCTTAATTATTTACTAATGATCAATCATTCTGCAAACTCTTTTCATTTTAACATGCATAGATTTACGCATGTGTTCATAATATTTAACCAAATTTATTTTATCAAATAATCTTTGTAAGAGTAGGTTACCAAACTAACGTGTGAACGAATATGGTATCTTTGAGAATATTAACGTGTATATTAATGCATAATTATGTTGCCAAACAATTCAGATGTACCTTGTTAATTAAAGGCCCATTATGCTCCAGCAATGTTTTTTTCTTCATGTCTCGAAAGCATTTTATTTTTGGTGTAATTTTATAAAGTTATTTCCAAAATGTTATTCATTGTCCAATTGAGCCGTGTCACGACAAAACCAACATAATGGGTTTGCGACCAGCACGGATCCAGACCAGCCTGCGCATCCGCGCAGTCTGATCAGGATCCATGCTGTTCGCTTACCAACCCTATTACAAGTAGAGAAACTGATAGCGAACAGCATGGATCCTGATCAGACTACGCGGATGCGCAAGCTGGTCTGGATCCATGCTGGTCGCAAACCCATTATGTTGATTTTGTCGTGACGCGGCTCAATTATCTTCTGTTGTTTAGTATAATTATAGTGATTTAGCATAATTATTGTATGGAAGTTCACATTTTACTTCTTTTATGTCAAATTATTTCACATTTAGCGCTATTTTTTTCTTTCTTCATGTACAAGCACCTAACATGCTTTTAACATTTATAAAATTCACGATTACTCTTGCTAAAGAAGTAAAAAAATCTAATTTTTCTAAAGCATAATTTGCCTTTAAAGGCTATTTGCTAATGAGTTAAAAGATTTGGCCAACATTCTATCAACTATTTGAATACATACAGAAAGTTTTTAATTACATATTGCCTTGCAGGCGGATCAGCTAATTTATTGATGGTGTTTTGTTATCATTAATCTCTCTTCTGACACGTATACAGCGGGTAAAGCCTATCTTATTATGCTCTTATTATGCAAATAAAAGGGTGACACTATTTCGGAGGAGAGGCGGGACGGAAAGTATCGTGACCTACACAAATTTAATAAGCGTCCATGTGAGATGAAGACATGGTGCGGAAATTTGGCACTTTCGTGACCTACACAAATTTAACAAGTGTCCATATGTGATTTTCGCAAATTTTATTTGTTCGTGAAAAGACGTCACTTTTCGCGCCATATATACGATAAATATGTATATATCAAAATTATCATAAGTGGCAATGTGACCATGCCAGGAGCAAAATTGAGAACGGAAATTGCCGAAATTTGCCGATGTAAATGCTCTTTTTTATGAAATGACTTAAAGACCATTTCGGGGGTTGATCGCAAAGCTGTTGTAAGTCCTTCTTTATTTCATAAAAGTTACTGCAGTTTTGCGGTTAACCTTCGATTTGTAACTTTTGCATCTATAAATCTGTTGATACATTAACGTAGATTAGAAGATACATATTGATTAAGAATGAATACCCTGAAGCTTAACTATATATTTGAAATTACTAAAACAGACATATTAGGATGTGCCAAAAAAAAAAGAAGATTAAAATGCGCCATCAACACTTTAAAAAACTTAAAATCGCTAACTGACTGTTATTTTCTCACTGTACAAGTGTATTATTGTTATTTGGCTATAAGCAATGTACATGTATTTGTTTTATGCTTAATGAAATGCGTATTCGTAAATCATTAATGTGTATCGACAGAAATGACAATACATGTTATTATAATACAAGGACGTCTTTAAACCGTCTTGTACAACATTACCCCTAAAATACAATTTAAATCAATGCATTCGAATCCACAATATCATATTCTTAATTTGCATGATTTGATTTTTGGGGGAAATTTTGTACAAGGCGGCTTGAATTCTTTCAGGTGGAAGCTACCCAGCAGCAACGGAACGACGGTACATGGTTCTAACCGTGCCTGAAAAAAATCACGGAAGAGCACCTGGGGTCTTCCTCCACCATTAATGCTTGAAAGTCGCCATGTGACCTATACTTTGTTTGTGCGACAAAAAAAAACAGAAACAACAAAACAAAAACAACGGAATGTTGGCGGTTCAAATCTGACAGTTGGAACAGCTGTGTGTCAGTGTAGAATTGAACAGCCCTTTATATATACAATGGAAAAAGCCGGGTGTCAAACGGAACAGCCATATTTAAGAGAAAGTATACTATACACATAATATAAATAGTATCGCTATGTTTTTTCACAAAGGGCATGAATGATAAAAATGTAAACAAAATAATTGTATTAACTGATCAATTTATCATTCTTTTTAAATAATTTCAAATGAATAATGGTTAAAAGCCTTGTGGGAACAAAAGACTATTATCTGTATTGATAATAATGATGATGATGATGGTGATGGTGGTGATGATGACGATGATGACGATGACGATTATGATGATGACGATGACGATGATTATGATGATGATGATGATGATGATGATGATGATGATGATGATGATGATGATGGTGGTGGTGGTGTTCTCCTGCAGCTGATGATGATGGTCATCATTATCATCATCATCATTATCATAGTTATGAATGAAGATTATGAAAATCTTGACGTGTTAAGACCACTTAAACCTGAAATAATGCACGGAGAGGCACTTGTTAGGTTTTCCTCCACCAGTATATCCTATAATTCAGATTTAAACAAAAAAAAACCGAATAAAATGAATATGCACCCAACAAAAATATCATTAAAACGGCGAATTTTGTCAAAATCGGCGGACAGGAAACCAATAATTTTGTCCCGTCCATACTGAAGCTATCAAATAATGTTGTCTATTTATAGACACCCTATACAGTATACCTTATCATCCGTAAAGTGGCTTTAAGGTACATGTTTAACATTCGGATAAATATCATTCGTTTGCATGAGATTTAAAGTGAAACTACCATTACCTTTTTAACATGGATTATTATATTAATATATAAACAACTACACAAATTGCTAAAGTTACGAAGGTAAGTGTTGTTATTTAACTTTATAAGGTAAATTTTATACTATATATGAAGCATTTCTTTTAATTAATATATTTTCCCTGCTATTAAAGTTGTTGGAAAAGATTTGTTAAATATGTATATACGTAGGTAGGTAAATTGCTTTTATAATTACATTTGGTGGTTAACACTTTCAGAGATGAAAGCCTATAAAATCAAATATTAAACTGAAGGGGTTAATATTACTATGTACATTATAACCGCCCTCGTCGAGTTTGTGGCCAAAATGCTGGCGTGTTGTCGTTTATATATGAACCTAGTGTCCTATATAAAGAAATCTGTTTAACACTATATTTCAATGAACTAAAAACCCGCCGCTTTAAGTACGCTATTTATTGAACTTATTAGTGATTGATTTTTTTTTTCATTGTAAAAAGTAAAGCATAATGTTAATTGCCATATATCATTGATTGCACTACATTGGAATTATAAGTATAATATGATATAAAGTCTTTTCTAATGTAAGTAATTTTATCGTAAATTTATAAGTTATTTTTATGTACATGTGCACATGTAAACGCAAATGACTAAGGTAGATACTAACTCGTCGTAACGAAGTTATAATGTAATTCAAATAAGGAAACTAAATAAATTCAGAGTTAAGTTTGATTTAAGTAGGAGATAGCATATTTGTTAAGTTAATCTGTTTACATACATGGACGTTAATTTTTAAAGACTTACTACGACCCGCTGCTGTCTGTATTAACGGAGATACAGCATAAAAGTAGTAATGGAAATTAACGATGTAATTGTTTTTAAATAATAAAACATTGTGACAATATTACATTATTATCATAATTATTACATTGTATTATTATTATTATTATTATTATTATTATGATGATGATTATTAATATTATTATTATTATTATATAGGCGCTCAATTGATAAACACAGTGTTTCTACCAATCAAGAAATTTGACTTCCATACCAAAACTAATTCACTAAATATGCCTTTTGCAAACTGAGCACAATAAGCAAAAATAATTTATGTATATGACAAAAGAGTATTTTTTGGAATCTATGGACTCTATCGTACCAAAGAAAGACAATTTTTAAGAAATAAAAAAATATTGCATTTCTAAAGCATAATGGGCCTTTAAGTTGTTTGCTTCTCAACCCAGAGTTCCGAGGTTTAAGCCATACTCGGTTACCGCCCATGTTTCCTCATGTGAACACCAGTATTGGATTATTAATTGTGTTATTGGACTAACGCTTTTCAGTATGCATAAGTTACCAATAACAACACAATATTAAGCCTACATCTATACAAACGAGGTTAATATATAGTAGTCTGTGTTTTTTTGTCACTAACAGGTATGTGAGGGGCGGTTAAACAAGACATTTTCCTTGAGGCGGACAGGGATATTTATAATTGACCATAATTGCATGTCAAAACGTCGGGAGAAGAACGCGTTCAATGTATAAATCATATATTGTTTCAGATAACTGTTTACTTAGAGTAATCGTGTATTAAAAATATAGAGGATATTCAAGGTTGTTTTTTTTTATAAATACAGAATCTATTTTCATCGAGTGGTATGAAAATAAATATGTCAATACCGGCGATAGTCACGAGTGAAATATGATAATTTTCATATCACAAGACGAAAATAAATCCTGTATTTAAAAAAAAGAAGAAAAAATTTCTGTTTATTATATACAAATACTCTTCTTTTTTTGACCTTTCAATTCTTAAGTTTTCTACTAAATTTTGTGCATGTCTGAATTTAGTAGAAAGTAGTCCGGCAAGACACCAGTGAAAATACGAAACATATCTTTCACTACAGTGAACAAGATTTTTTCAGTGAATATAAGGAAAATGAAAAGACGCATTTTATTTTATCAATATTTCATTTATAAATATATTACAAATAAACATACTTCATTTTTTTTATCTCATTCGTATACATACATCAATGTTTTACATATATGCAAATATTCATACAACCATTCTATTAAGGATTTCAAGAGACATGTATATCAGTGAGATGACCTTTTACATTTAGACTAGAATCAAATATATTTCTTGTACAATCACAATGTATATAAGTCAGGAAACCATCGCTGATTGTTTTTTAATTATAGTTTTGCGGTATGAACAAAAAATATGATAACCTTTGCCCCAGCTATTTGCATCAGACTGACAAGGCTCAAACTATTTGGAAATAGAATTATTTTTCTTCTTTGACATTAAAATAACCTTTAACTTTAAATGTACTCTTCCTGTTTCAAAGCTGGGTAAATCCATTTCATAAAAAGGGTTAAGTGTTACTAAATTAATAATGAACTTAGTTTTTTTTCTTTTGTTTTTCTACAATATATGAAACTTTAAGTTTAACCTGGCAGTATTGGAAACATTTATGCCTAAACCTTGATCATTAGCGTATTATGTTCGGAGTGCATTATTCCCTTTGAACTAATCATCCAAAACTACTCCATGAAAGTATAATTTCCTCCCATCAAATGTTTAACATTAGAATGCACCGACATACAATCTCTTTCATATCCACATTTTGCCTCGTAGAAACCTGAATATCGGATTTTTTTACAGCGGTCCAAAAAAAAATGCTCGTATATGGCTTAATGTTCCGTCATTATCTATGGAGCTTAGTTATAAAATGTTGCTTCGTATAGTGCACACGTACGCGCAGTAGTCAAGGATTAACCGCTTTAAGACTTAAGAATGTGAATATAAATATTGATGATGTTGTTGGCAGTGTGACTGTATACAAAGCTTAGGATAACAAGACAATTGAATCAGGAATAACGACTTGCTGTATCGATGTTGATGTATTTAGCAAATTATACGACCAGTCTCTCTAACAATCAATACTATGAAATGGAATACACTGCATATTGAGTGAAACTAAACAAGATAACTTATGTTACTGACAAGCGAAACAAACAAAAAATCAAAATAAACATCACTGGTTTGTTTTTGCACTATATAATGGATAAACCATGTTTTTACACGACATTTTTCTTTTGTCATGGATTGAACTGTCCAGTGGGAACATAATTATTTAGACTGAACTGAATGTTCGATTTCCGGGTTAGTGTTTGAACTGTCGATGGTTTTTGTGAGTCACTTGATTAGAAAAACTTATGAATGAAGATCGTGCAGGAAATGGGACGTTATAATAGACGCCGTGTAATTTGTTGCAACATAATTATCAATTAATAATTTTATTTTTGTGTAAAGATAGTGTTAAATATTATTTACTATAACTCGTATTTTGGATTATACTCGTACTGTATATGCTGTTAATTTCTATTCTGGAACATATAGTATGTGACTTGTTCTTCGTTTCCTACTATATTCTATGATTACAGAATATACATGTTTACATGTATGCACGATAACAGGGGAGGTAACTTGGGGTAATATCATTGAACTATACTTTTTTGTTATTAAAACTGTTAATTTATTTATTCAACTTTCGTGTACATTGTCATGCAGTTCGGTTAATAGTCACATTGTTTAAGCGTGCTTGATTTGATAAAAACATGTTTGTTTTGTTATGAACATATTTGATTTAGCAAAATTTGATTTTTAAGTCCACAAAGGCCCTAATACTTAACAATTTACCATTCAATTATAGGCAAAAATAAACATGTTTATACATTGTGTTTTGAATTTTGGGTCAGCGATTTGAAACCTATTTTAAGAAACTATGATAATTTTGCTATATAATTCCCCCGTTAATCGTGACTGACAACAAAAGAACTTTTACAATTTTTGTCTTCGCATATTCAGTTTTCATTTTACCGTCTATTGAATAATATTCGGTTACGTTTTGATTACTTCGTTTGATTGAATGATGATTTAATATATATATATATGAGGATAAGGTGTCTCTATCTTTTATTGTACTTGGTAAAAAAATCTTCTTTTCTTTTTTGTGAACTCTTGACATTTATATATTATTTTTGCTTCGTGATTAATTTTAAATGTCCTGTAATAAAGTAATTTGAGTAAAAATCGTTAGATATACGTTTTTTTGTTTGTTCTGATTCAGTTACGCCTAATGCTTTTATCAACTTGTTTGTTTAATGTCAAACATAGGTTACTAATGCTATTTTAAGTTTCAAATTTAAGAGCATAGTTAACAAATGTACATGTTTTTTTTCCAGGTTGTCAATAGGACGGGATGGCATTATGCAACGTGAATCATAAAATTCAATTGTGATCATATGAACATGTATGTAGTATTTATATATTTTATTTGGATAGCTTTCTAATGCATAAACTAAACAAGACTCGAAAAAATATTTATATAATTTTAAAGCGGCCTCCAGCTTTTCTAAAGGTTAAATATGTTATTTTAAGATAATACGTTTCATATAATTGTCAACTCTAACGAAATTAAAGTGTAAAATGCAATTTGTTGTCGATAAAATACATTTATAAACAATAAGGAAACCCCTCGATACCTCTAATCTGCCATGTAAATAATTAAAGCGAGGAGCTGTTTTGAAGATGGCTTAACAGTGACACGATGCACTTTTCCTAGGTAATATATACTTTTAAAGAGCTCATACAAAATTAAAAACTTAAGGCTGATTTAATGTATGTGTTGAATCCAAGTAAACATACACACTTATCATATAAACAGATTTAAAGTTACATACAGCCATACGATATTTGATATTCAGGTGTGACTTAATCTATAAATCTTGTTGACTTGTTTACAGCAGTGTATAGGACAGCAACATATTATTTCCCGAATTTGCCAATATATTACGTACGGTCAAACCCGTTATCAAAGGCCACCCAAGGGAGAGACCGAACATGTCCTTGATAGACAGGTGGTCTTTATTTTGAGGCTACTTTGTTCTTGATAATAACCAATGATTTGTTGACTCTAAGTGGCCTTTATACACATGGTGATCTTTATTTAGATGAGGTCATAAAAACAGGGTTGACTGTATATAATATATACAGTCAGTGTCAATATTTTCAAAAATAGTTTGTCAGTATGGTACTTTGGGCACCAGAACTCTTCTTTTTTAGGGAGGGGGGGGGGTAGGGTTGTTCAAATTTACAAATTGCCTTTTAACAACTATGCTTCCAAGCAGAAACATAAATTGCAATGAGCCAAGCTTTTGATTGTAAGAATAGCAAGCATGCATACAATTTTTTTTGAATATGTTGTGCATTTGTTCTTCGTGGATAAGTACTATGTTTTGATTTAAAGCAGAGTGGTTTAACCTTGAACATCCGGTCACGTGTTCAAAGTGTTGATCTGTTACAAAAATGGCATTGATACTGCAAACTTTACAGTTATTACAACTAAGCTCTTTTCACACTATATAAGTTGAGCTTACGCGTCCATATAACATACATAATTTGTCTTATATTTTTTTCACACTTAACTTCATAACGAGGCTATCGTCTGCCCTATGGCCACGTTGTTAATTTTCAAAGTGTTTTACCTTTTCCTTGTAGTTAATTTAAACATTTTTTTTTAAAATCTCCATCCTTGAAGTATATATGAGGGGGTGGAGAACTGGGAATATTTCAACGAATTAAACGTCTGACAAGAAATATTTTTGACTCGTTTCTTCCTTGCGGGGCTTGAATCGCTTATATAAAGTACTACATAAGGCTTACATAATTAATTATTGGGCTGATAATTTTATTAATACTTATATTTGTATGGACATTTCCACTTTACAATACTCGGTAAAGCAGTTGTTTGAATATTCAGGAAATCTATAATGTGTGCACAATATCTGGTAAAATTGCGGAAAACGGTTCATTAATCCATTTTAGTTGAATTGTTCAAATGAAAATTTTAGACTTGCTTTGGGCAGGTGTCTGTCAAAGTTCTAAGACATTTGTAATATAATTGTCAAATCGCATCTTCTCGGCCCTTTCCGTCAAACTTCGGATAAGGTTATTGTGAATAATAGCCAAATAGTTCCGATTGTCATGGAGTTAGACATTTTCCAAATCGGAACTCCTCGGATATTATTCATAATAACCTTGTCCGAAGTTTGACGGAAAGGGCCGAGAAGATGCGATTGACATTTTACTAATGATCCGTGACACGACGGTGTAAAGAGAGATAACTTTTTTGGACCGCGTGTCTTAATGTAGTATGCTTCCGAATTCATGCTTTTTTAATGAAAATTTTAAACATTTATTTAAAAAAGTGTATTGAACAAAGATAGTAATTTAGTCACTGCAAACGTTATTTACAACCCACGTAAATTACCAAAACAGGTCAAAATATGCAAAACATGATAGCCTTTAAGTACTGCGTTAGTCACGCAATAGAAATATGACGATTAATACTGCAAAATCAGTCATTAATCGCACATAACATGTTAAATTATTACTTGACACATTTCTTATAATCTCAGTACATTTTTATCATGTCTGATTTTCTTGAAATATTTTTTGGCTCATCTGGAGGCATGCAGCTTTAAATGAAGTGGAATAGTACCCGTCAATACGGTGGCGTTCTCCAGTCTTCGGACGAATTTCGCAAATCAATGTATTTTCAAAAAATGCAAAATACACACAATTTATAATAATAGATGTACTGCCTATATAGAATAAATTGTTTATAAATGTCAGGAACTAATTAAGTAACCTTAAATTATTCTGGCACATATAATTTCTGATTGGTATATTTCCTAAGTTCAAGTAAATGTCAGTTGAGATTATTAATAAATGCTATATTCATTTATGACTCCATTGTTTTACTGTGAATGACCTTCTGTTATTTGGATACATTTGGATACATTGCTTATACACTTATATGCCAATATGTCCCTGTATTAACTTGTGAAGAAAATCATTCCAGGAATTCAAAACTTTTGTCCTGTATAAGTAACATAATAGTTGCACCATTTCCTCGGGTGTTTTCGGGTTCCATCGGATATCATCGGGGCTAGATGGGGAAAAACAATAAGTAATTCAACGCTTTCGTTGGCCTGAGAACCACATTTAGTTGTTTGGCCTTAAAGGAAAGTACTTATAATATTACATATCCTGTATAGAGAGATGGAGTAACTTATACTACATTTTTATATTTTTCTGTCATACATATCGACTTTGTTGAGTGTAGTACTGGACTACCGGTTAAATTTCGTAAGATTTATTAGGAATTTTTCAGAGCTGTCATGCGCTTGTTTTCTGGTAATGTTCTTTATATAGACTGCACTCTTTACGTTTTACTATTACATAAGCTATATGTCTCTAATTTTATTTTAATGACGAATATTATAAACTTTTAAGAATTGCTGACGCATTGTTTATAGCATGGTGTCCATCTATAGATCGTGTAAATTCGTAACCGTCCGTCATTTTCCGTTTCTTGACTTGACAAGATTTTAAACCTATTTTACTTAAAGCTGCATGCCTCCAGATAAGTCAAAATCTTACAAGAAATTAAACTTTAGAAACATGTACTAAGATTTAAAGAAAAGTAAGAAAAATTTAAGATTCAAGTAATAGTTTACATGTAATCTGTGATAAATGACTGATTTTGCAGTATTTTTCACCATATTGCTATTGCGATACTTACGCAGTAAAGACTAGTTTTGCATATTTTGACCCCTTCTTTAATTAACGTGTATTATAAGTGCCGTCTGCAATATGTAAATTCATTTCTTTGTTCAATTCACAATATTTTTCTTTTGAATACGTTTTTTTAAATTTTCATGAAAATTGCATGAATCTGGAGGCATGCTGCTTTAAAATAAAATATTGAAATTGTGTGCAAATTGTGTGCAAAGTTATGCATCTGAGGACATGCTATAATGATCGATCAATGATATGTATATTGCTTTAATACATTCCATCAGCTATCTTAACACTTAAACAAAAACCAACCATAGAAATATGTGCTTCGTCAGCATATCCTATGTATAATTATAAGGAAAACCGTTTGTAACGGTTTCAAAGTAAAAATAAAATAAACAAAAACGATATTAAGGTCAGCATAAATAAGGGTTTTAACAATACATGTACGTTATTACTTTAGTGTGACATTTTAACAATACATTCTTACTTTAATGTGATATATTTACGAAAAAGTGATATGTTTACGAAAAGTACATTTTCACTCTTTTTCTAAGTAACAAATCTATCTTGCATATAATCACGTTTGTACAGATCGGTATTACAAGAGCCGAAATGATAAGCTTAACTGATTCTTGTAAGACTACAGAATACGACGCCTTTTAACTCGGACTTTATCTTAACTGAAATGGTAAAACGTACGGTTTCTATAATGAAAGAAATGTATAGTCTTTTACTGAGCAAAATCTATATTTCTTTACTAAATATTGTACTTGAAATTTGTTTGAGAACGTAAAATGGACACATCTTTGACGAGTGAAATGTCCATGTTTCCGAAGGGAAAATTGTACGTTACTTTATTCAGCCAAACGTTTTTTAATGAGATAAATGCACCTTTTTATCTAAGTAAATTGTAAATGAAGTAACCTCAGTAAAATTAATTCAATACGTGTCATCATGATATTAAATATGTCAGGGAAATCTGTCATTTAAACAAGTTCTAGAAAACGAAAAACCACAAAATTTACTAGTATATTAAATCAGATTCTTACACGTTTCTATACACTCTTAAATGATTCATAAGTACCAGATGTTTATAAATAGATTTATTTAAATAATACATGTCCCTGAATCATCAGTATTGAACTCAATTTGCATATTGAAAAAGCTTTTCTGTTAAACCATTGTTTAAGAAACACGGTGCTGTAATGTGTACTACGTACAATAAGTCAAACTGGCCATTTTTCAAAATCACTATACTGAATGAAGTATAACGAAAAGTAGTTTCAAGCGACGCTACTATATTGATAAACATTGCTGAAATGTGTATGATTACAATGGTCCTAAATATCAACGTAATGCATGTTCACGGTAAAAGGCGTCAATTAACCAGAGGCAAGCAAGAAAACAATTTCTATAAAGCTAGAACTTGTTTTTTTATTTTTTTTCAGTAATATCCTTTCTTTCTACATCCATATTTGACAATTTAAGCTAGATTTATGCGTTGGATGTTTTAAGCCTCAGTCTCACTTACTCCCGGCAGAGCCCAGGACCATCCCGGTAAGTTACCGGGATGATCCGGGACGATCCGGGATGAAATTATTGTTGCGGTCACACTTACCCCGGCAGCACTACGGTAGTTCCCTACTAACCACCCAGGATGCGCTCCGGATCATCCAGGCAGAGCCCAGGTGAAGCTACGGTTCATGCCGGTGCTTACCCGGTCGTTCCCGGATGACCCCGGAAGAGCCCCGGTTGACCCAGGCAGAGCCCCGGTCGATCCAGGCAGAGTCCCGGCAGAGCCCAGGACGATCCAGGCAGAGCCCCGGTAGAACCCCGGTGGATTGAAAACGCCCGAAAATGATAACATTGATACATAATTTTTATTTTATATAATATCTATTGTTCCAGAATAGTAATTCATAATGATTTTTCTGAAAAATCCTTATGCCATACTGGATAGAAGGGAAATGGGAAGGCTTTTAATACAAACAAGTTCAATCATCGCAAATTGTCGTTATTCTTTTGAAATGATCCGGGCTTTGCCGGGGCTCTACCGGGATCAACCGTAGCTCTACCTTTATCCTCCGGGGCTCTGCCTGTAGTTACCGGGGCTCTGCCGGCATATACCGGGGCTCTACCGTAGCTCTACCGTTGCTCTACCGGCTATATCATACCCCGGATCATCCCCGGTTTGTGCCAGCAGAGCTACGGTGCTTTCCCGGTATAACCCCGGTCGTTCCCGGCAGAGCTAAGGATGAAGCCGGCAAAGCTATACCTTCCCGGATCATCCCGGACCACCCCGGTGATATTAAATATTTTATTCCATCCGGGGTCGAGTCCCGGATGTTCCCGGATCATCCCGGATCATCCAGGACGTTGCCGGCAGAGTTACGGATGTACCCCGGTTGTTCCCGGTAGTACCCCGGTCGTTCCCGGATCACCCCGGACGTCTACCGGGGCTCTGCCGGGGCTCTGCCGGGATGTAAGTGAGACTGTAGCTTTAAACAAGCCATTTATCATTTTTATCGGAGACTTTCTAACTGAAACCTTTCCCTTTATGTACATGAGTAATTATTTCAGGGAAACAACTAGTTTTCGAAAATATATTAGATATATACTGCCTGTTATAGGACTTCAACCGATATAATTATATCCTTATATAATTTATTCAGCATTGATCAGTGACTGCAACAATACTGCAACAATTCTTGTCTAAAAACATTTACAAGTTTGAAATGACCCCAGAAACACGATATTTGTTTAAGAACATGAGACATTTAAATTTAAGTCCAACCTGCCTTAGGAGACCATGCAGGGGAGAAGAAGAAAGTTGTCTGTCACGACTGGTGGTCTTATAAGTTTTATTAAAAAATCTCAAAGCATCCTGTATATTTATTCAATGTTAAAACGTGTGTAAAAATGTTTAATGCAAAACCTCAGGGGTTTTCTCAAACTTATTTTTCAGCCAAAACCCATTGGTAATGTAGCATGAAGCATAAAGCACGAATCGTAGCAGTGACCTTTCTGTTGTCAAGTACTGTAATTTTCCTGTTCCTGTTTGTGGAGTCTTCAACGGACGGTGAAAACAAAAGATACTATGACACAAAATTCGGATCATTGCAAGGGCAATTTGAGGTATGTGTATAACGTTAATTAATGTAGAATTCATTAATTCACTTCCTGCCTTCCATAGTTACGCGCAACGTACAAGAATATATAGTTATAAGGTGGTTGATGGTTTGTATATGTTTGTTTTGTTGAAAAACAATTTAAAAGAACTTTTTTGCCTTTCTCGTACGCGTGTTGTTGTAGGCTAGCTACAAAACATAAATGACTTGTTTGCATTTCTCGTACGTCTTGTCGTGTTGTTGTTCGTCTTAAGGTCAAAATAACTTGTTTCCATATCGCGTGCGTGACTTGCTTTCGTTTTTCGTGCGATTTGCCGTGTTGTCGTTTGGCTTAAAGTCAAAATGAATTGTTTCCCTTGCGCGTGTGTCTTGCCGTGTTGTCGCTTGGCTGCAAAACAAAAATGACTTGTCATTTCCCTCTCGATTGCGTCATGTCGTGTTGTTGTTTGGCTAAAATGTCTAAATGATTTCAACGCACCTGCGAAAAAACATACGCGCAGTGATTCGATAAAAGTAGAACCTATATTTGAAAATGTGTTTATAATTCGGACACTCTTAGGTTTCCGGCAGGTTGCCTTCGAAACGACAACAGAGTAAACGGCTTGATTTCGTGGGGAAAGAAAATGGTTACGAGTATAAGGTATGGCAAGGCGTTCGTCAAAGCACCAGACCAAAAACTGATTGTATACGTTGACAGTACAATGATTAAAAATCCATTTGTCATACAGTATTGTTTCCTTCTTAATCAATCTTTACGAAAGTTATTTCGAGAGTTATTTATTGTCAGATATTTTACATTTCTGCAAAGTTTGAATACGAATCATGTTTGACATAACTAAACAGAAATTTCTGAATGTCTCATTGTATGCAGATACTTTTATTACGATCTCGTAAAATCTCACGAAAATGTGAATTTGCGGGATTATGTTATTGCTGATACAGATTTTAAGTATTTGATTTCATAGTGTCCTATCCACGTTAAACTACGTTTTTTAAAGATAATGCCATCAGTGAAAAATCCTTTAAAGATACATTTGTAATGACTTGATTTTATGTAAATTTTGTGTTTATCATTTAAGAACGTCATTAACATGTTTTTTTCAATTACGTAGTGGTATTGTGCAACATTATTAAAGTATTATATACATATATAAATGAAATTATTAACTTATTTACATATATTGCCGACATTTAAGATTAGAATTAAAGGCATGCAAACAAATTGATCAAGATTTTCTACATTTTTGGTGTGCGTTTCACCCTTAGAATATATATTATATTAAATATTGCAGAGTACGATTTTAATCTCATATTATTTATATACAGATTGCCAATTGAGAAAAATGTGCTATTTAATGATACGTACTTAACTTTTGATATTAAAGATGATTATTCATTTCGCCTATCACGCTCGTGCGGAACATGATAATTAGTTGTCGAGTTGCAATTTTGAATATAATAAGTAGATGTATAATCATTAGCAGTGTTTTAATCACTCCCAAGATGACACATTCCAATCGGAATATCTCGGCTATTATTAACATCCGAAGACTGACGGAAATGGCCGAAAAGTTGCGATTGTGACACATCCATCTAAATTCGGCATTTCGTCGCCATTTCCGGTATATTGTATGTGTATCACAAGGTTAGCTTTTAAAAAAGCTAGTAGCGACTCGCTTCGTTTTTGTGTCGCCTCTACGGAGTAGTGGCGACATATAGGGATCACTTCTCCGTCGTCTGTCTGTCTGTCAGTCTGTCCGTCTGTCTGTCTGTCCGTCTGTCCGTCCGTCACAAAACTTGTCCGGACTACTACTCATAAACTACTGGTGCAATTTCATCCAAACTTTACAGGAATGATCAGTACCAAGTCTAGTTGTGCATATTGTCAGCATTTTCCGGTTCAATGATTTTTGTCAGAGTTATGGCCCTTTAATAATTTTTAATTTTAAAGTTTGTCCGGACTACTTCTCTTATACCACTAATGCAATTTCAATGAAACTTTACAGGATTGATCTGTAGCTCAAGTCCTTGCGCATATTGCACGGGTTTTCCGGTTGAATGATTTTTGGCCGAGTTATGGCCCTTTGATAAAAAGGTGTTTTTTTCTGTGTGTTGCCAGATACGCAATAGCTTGTCCGGACTACTCCTCATAAACTACTGGTGCAATTTCATCCAAACTTTAAAGGAATGATCAGTACCAAGTCTAGTTGTGCATATTGTCAGCATTTTTCGGTTCAATGATTTTTGTCAGAGTTATGGCCCTTTAATAATTTTTATTTTTAAAGTTTGTCCGGACTAGTTCTCTTATACCACTTATGCAATTTCAATGAAATTTTACAGGATTGATCTGTAGCTCAAGTCCTTGCGCATATTGCATGAGTTTTCCGGTTGAATGATTTTTGGCTGTGTTATGGCCCTTTGATAAAAAGGTGTTTTTTTCTGTGTGTTGCCAGATACGCAAAAGCTTGTCCGGACTACTCCTCATAAGCTACTGGTGCAGTTTTATCCAAACTTTACATGATTGATCAGTACCAAGTCTAGTTGTGCACTGTCCGTCTGTCTGTCCGTCTGTCACAAAATTTGTCCCAACATGAAATTGGCCATTATGAGGCGACACATGTGATTACTGATCGCTCTTGTTTTCCCAGGGTATGTGTTTAAATGTAAAAATGACAGTTCTGTTAGCTGAAGAGACTTCAGCGAACATCAAAATAAAAGTTACATATAAAGTTATTGAAGCTAGTTCTCTCAGTTTAACAAAGAGGAATATGAGTATATATGAAGATGCATGTAAACAGATAGAATGAAGTCCCTATGTCTTTTCACATTTACTATATGGCCTGTTGACCTTGACCAAAAAAGTGTTAGATAGGTAGAATTCATAAAGATGTCTCCTGATACGAAGTTAAGTTGTAATATTTTATTTAGTATTGGAATGAGTGACAGACACAAGTCCTAAATTAAACACAAGTTGTCAATCAATCGGGATCCTATTAAAAAGTATAGGGATCCCGGAAATTGACCAGTCTAAGAAGATGTTTTTCAGATAAGCCGGGATCCTATTAAAACATATAGGGATCCCGAGAATTGACCAGTTCAAGAATATAGTTTTCAGAAAAGCCGGGATCGTATTAGAATATAAAGAGATCCCAGGAATTGGCCAGTTGAAGATTATAGTTTTCAGAAAAGCTGGGATCGTATTAAAACATAGGGATCCCGGAATTTGACCAATTCAATATTATAGTCTTTGATTTTTCCAATTAATAAGGCATATAATTATAAGTATTTTGATTTTGTTAATAAATAGCTCTAAATATATCTATATCCTAAGTTAAATTAATTTAAAGTTCATTACATAGAATAAAAAAATGTAAAAACTTAACGTTAAATGGCCTTTCATTACGACAATAATCAACACAAATATAGTTTACTAGTTTTTTCCTCTATATCTTATACGATCCCGGATCCCGGGCGTCCCGGATCCCGGCCAGTAAATACATACACTAAACACCGGAAAGGATGAAATGACCGGAAAAGGGAAAAAGAAAAAAATGCACAGAACCAGATGTACACTTATGTTAATTAACCAAACGAAAACTTATAATTACTACAGAGAAAACAGGACTTGTGAAATTGCTAAATCAAAAGTCAGTGTAAATATGATTTATTGAAAAGAATTCATGAAAACAAACATTTTAATCATCATTATATCTTTGCGCTCAAAACATTACTTGCTGCTTTTTAAAAATGGCGTGAAAATTAAAGGTTTTTTGACGCTTTGTAAGATTATATTTGATTGGCTAAATAATTTTGGATCCTAGCCCTGAAAGATAAATTTTGTAGAAAGCTGGAAGCCAAGCTTCGATTAAATTTTTGGATGGATTCGGAGTTTTAGGTTGTTTCTCAGTAAAATCCTAACGTAATACCGGCTCGCCGTGGCGAGCCGGCATCATCCTCGCAATCATGTTTGTGTACATGTATATCAGAGACGCGTCGAAATGACCAAGGGTATCCCAATTAAAAATCTTAATAACCCAACGCATTAATTGATACGGAAACTGTAGAGATTTTTCCGAATTCATACGGATGTAACACCCTTTTTAAAGTTGCATTTTTAAGACAACTCAATTATTCACTTGAAAATTTGTTGTAAGATAATATATTATTTATTTTTACAATACATATACTCGATACTTATTTTTGATATAGCTTGGTGCAAACAGAAATCTACACTATCATAGTTATGTGCGTAGGAATTTAGCTAGTATCTATATCCCGTATTTTTGGTTAGGTTATGAAATAACACCATCAGTCTGGATATCATATAACAGCTTCAAACATTCATCAGTAAATGAAAACCTTTGTTGTCCTGAAATGCTTTCCAGCACTTGAATTATCATAGCAATTTTACGTATCTATTATCACCTAGATATAAAATAAAACCATTTTCTTAACTGCAAGTATTATTGTCACTACGAGCGTATTTGCTTCCAGACTCAGCATAATCTTTTCGGTCGGTAACAGGTCAGAGCCCTGAATAAACCAAACATCGGTCACTTCTAGATTTTTATTTGTTTGGGTCGTCAGACCAAACAAATAATGGTAGCGAAATTTCAGACCCCGATGCTGTTAATTGCAAATGCCGAAAGTAGTCCGCTTTTTTGAAGCGGTTACTTCCCTTTATATGTACACTAACGCCGAAAAATTCAGGGGTGATCACTGCGTAAAGATGGTCAAATGACAGGCGCATTAATTTTCAAGCAAAATAGTTTCCGAATGGTCGAAGATTTCTAATATTGTTTTATTCTCTATAGATATACATGCTTATAGTAAGCTCCATGATTATTTACATCTGTGTTAAACAACAGTTATCGTCGAGATAATAAGGGTTACAAACCGTAATTTAGAATAATATGGTTTTCTTCAGGCAGTTAACATATAACTTCACCGTGGTCGAGGGATTTGCGCGCTCGCTTAGGAAGGGAGAGGTCTGGAGTTCAAATCCCAGTTAAAGGAACTCATTTTTTTTTAAATTGTTTAAGTCAAATAAACATTGAATTGAATATCAGTGTTGCAATTAGTCTTATAGCCAATTTACTACAATTAAAACGATGGAAAGCATTGGTGGCACTATACAAAAACAAATTGGTTTATAATCTTACAACCTTCACCTTTCTGACATTCTGAGACCCAAACAAATTCAGCGCCTTCTGTGCTTTGATTACCTAATGACACAAGATTTGGAGCTTGTACAGCTTGGCAATAATACGATTTATTTACTATTTTTGGGGGTTGTGTAAGTCTTATAATGAGTTTTTCTTACTGTTTTTTTTTTCAGGATGCCTTCGGATTACGACAGGTTAGTAAGAATCCAGATCTCAGCCTTAAGAATATCAATGACGTCAAAGATCAGTTGTATGTTGGTGTCAAGGGAGATAGTTCACGTCAAAAGCTAGCGAACCTGACAGTGATGTATGACGAACGAGTAGAAAGGTGAAATATTGTGATTTTTTTTAAATTTCCATCAAGTAAAATTTTCTTGGTCTTTTACATAATTAAACCTTGTACAATAGTGTCATTTTCATAATTTCTGAATAACTCTTGCTGAGGAATAATGTGCCTTTAATTATTACATAATTATACTCATTTTTCAGGTTGTTGGAAAGGCTTGAAAAAATCAAGCATTTTGGCTACACGAAAGAGTCACTAGTTAATACAAGATTCACAGACATGACATTACAACTTGGTAGAAGTTTCAGAGAAAAATCCAAATTATTATTGCCACTGGATCGGCGGAGAATGAAGTAAATATATATTTTACATTTGACAAAACTATTCATTGAAATCACTGAAAAATAGTATCTATGTCAGTTATTAAAATGATTGAAGGAAATAATTCACCAGTGCGTAGCAGAGTAATTCAAATGTCAAGTTCATAATTATTAGCATTATCCGAACGAGTAGCACTTTTATATTTACATCATCCGAACAAATAGCCCATTATGGGCATATTTATTTTCTTCACCCGAACGAATAGCCGATAATTAGTTATTTACATCATCCGAACGACTGGCACTTAATTATTTCCTTCATCCGAATGAATAGCCCATAGTTATTTTCTTCATCCGAACGAATAGCCGATAATTATTTACATCATCCGAACGACTGACACTTAATATTTTCCTTCATTCGAACGACTACCCATATTTATTTTTCATCTGAACGACTAGCACATATAATTGTTACTTAATGTTCGAACGAGTAGCCTATACCGATTAATTTACTTCAACCAAACGACTATTTATTTACTTTATCACAATAACAAAGTGTTATCAGGTAAACCAAGGGAGTAAAGTGTAACAGCTTTCTCTTAATAAACCGATCAGCTTTTTGTTTGACTTGGTATTTATGTAGAATAATTATAATGCAAAGCATATATCAGGCATAGTGTACTTCAGGATACAATTGTCTTAAGAAGGAAAAGGTAAAAAAGGTAAATAAATTTCGAATTGTCAATACATGTATTTATTTAGTGTTATATAAACACGATTAAAGTTGATACCGAGGAAATTCGTGATTAGATTTCATGTTTTATATTGTAGGGACAGACATGCTAGCAACTATTATAAATTTCATCATAATGTCCGCGCTGGGTCCCTATACGACCCCTTTGACCCTAGTATAGACGGCTTGATCTATGACATGCAGACACAGGAGTTCGAATCTGTTGGTAAGCTCTTATGCATTTTAAATCTCGTATTATCTCGTTAGATTATGAGATTTATCTTTTTTTCTCTGGAAAGGTGGTCAATTGGTTTTTTCGTTGCTTTAGGAACAACGGTTGAAAAAATTGCGAATCTCACAAATCTTTCACAATGCAAAAAGGTGTCAATATCGTTTTTTTTATTATCAAAAACATGTCTATATAGTGCAAGAATAAGATCTAGTGCATTGTCGGTGTAAAACGCTATTTCCTATTTTTACACATTCAATTCAATTGCACGGCTATAATAACATATTAATAGATTTGATTTGTGATGATCAAATTATAATCTTGTTTAAAATGTTTGCGTTACACTATAGGCGCATCAACAAAAATGGTTCATTTTCATTTCAAACGGTCTTTATTTTTGGTATATGATAAATAGAATATTGACTTTGTGTAAGTTTATTACTGTATTTATTGAACTCGCTGAATAAAATGATATTCTGCTCGCCAGAGGCTTGCCTAATATGGTGATTTTACTCAACTTGTTCAATTAATTCAGTATTAAAATTACACTCATTCAATATCTTCTATTTATCAATCGCTGTAAAACGCTTGACGTCAAACGTCTTGTAAGAAACGACGCGTGACGTCAAGCACATTGTAAAATGATGATACTGTCCGATCCTTAATAATAATAATAATAATAATAATAATAATAATCATAATTATAATAATAATTAATAATAATATTAAACTCTAAACATTTATCGAAAGTAGTTTATTAAGACAATACATCAAAGCATAATGCAAAATCTTATTTTCAACAAGGCCTTCCAGATAGACTTATGACGTCATACACCTTGTTATAGTATAGAATGCCTTTTGGGCACTTAGATAGAAAACAATACTCTGATTTATTTTTCGTTTCAGAAATGATGGAAAAGGGTACAGAATTGAAACTACTGGTAAAGCTAAGTAGCGGTACTAAAGCGGTTTTCAAACCGATGAGGTAAATTTTGGTTGTTATCCTTTCATAGCAAAAAAATTATCATATTTATTTTTGTATCTGAGTAAAAAGCATCTGTCTTTAAATGTATTAATTATTTTGCCTAGTTTTTAGGGAACCTGTCTCTTCGCTGAAGCATTATTGGTTCAATCTCAAACGAATAGCCGATGATTATTAACTTTATCCGAACGACTGGCACTTAATTATTTCCTTCATCCGAATGAATAGCCCTTAGTTATTTTCTTCATCCGAACGAATAGCCGATAATTATTTACATCATCCGAACCTGTCTCTTCGCTGAAGCATTATTGGTTCAATCTCTATTTAGATATGTACTTAGTTGACTTGGATCCTTCATAATTGAAGAGGCATACAAATGGAGCAATCTTAAACAGTTAGCCATAGTGTAGGTCAGATAAACGTACAGGATCATAGCTGATCAGTTATGCGGGTCCACTGGCCAAGTTCATCGGCCTTACCCATTCAGTCAAATAAATTTTCAACGACCATAGCTATTCGGTTAAATATGTTTGACTCTTGCACTTACCTTTTAATTAATAAGATCTCCAGACTACTTTCAGCGACAAAACCTTTTCAGCAATGAACCATAGATAAATTTCAACGACATAAATATTTCAGCCATGTTAAACTCAGACAATTCAAAGCAACTTTACCCACACAGCTATGAAAGTTTTTCGACAAATCTCAGCGACCTTTATCACTCGAAATTGGAATATATATAGACTTTTTAGCAATCATTATACTCTAAGCCGTGGAACCCATGTCAAATTTTTTGCGATATTTTTCTCTTTTAAAGTCAGCAGAATTGTTTAGATATAGAGTATATTCAAGTTTTTTTCATCGAGTGGTATGAAAATAAAAATTTCACGAGTGGCAGTAGCCTCGTGTGAAACATGATATTTTTTTTTACAATATGAAAATAAATCCTGAATTTAGAGTGGAAAAAAGTATTTTCTGTTAATTATATATTTTTTTTTTCTATTTTGTGGCATTACAGTTGAAAGAACTTCCTTTGAAATTTGTATATTGACTGTAAAAGAAAATAGTCCGGCAAGACTCCAGTGTAAATACGGAAAATGAAAATACGCATTGTATTTAATCAATATTTCATTTATAAGAAGAGCTATATAATAAAAAAAAATTCTGACTTATGCAGTGTTTTTGTATTAACATGAAAAAGTGCTTATTTTTTTTATTCATGACGTCATTATTAAATAATGTTTTTTTTCCAGATGGGATAGATCTCATGAGACGTTACCAAACCATTTTTATTTTAACGACTATGAGAGACATAATTCTGAAATTGCAGCATTCCATTTAGATAGGTAAGTTTTTTTATTGTTGCTATTATTGTTGCTGTTGTAATGTTATTGCTGCTGCTGCTGTTGTTGTTTTTGTTGTTGTTGTAATGTTGTTGTTGTTGTTGAGGCTTCTTCTGCTCTTGTTGTTGTAATGTTGTTGTTTTTGTTGCTGTTGTTGTTGTTGCTTCTGCCGTTGTTGTTGTTGATGATGATGTTGTTGTTGCTGCTGCTGCATGCTGTTGTTGTTGCTTCTGTTGTTGTTATTGATGCTGCTCTGCTGCTGCTAATGTTGTTGTTGTTGTTGATGATGATGATGATGTTGGTGATGATGATGATGATGCTGATAATGTTGTTGTTGGAGCTGCTGCTGCTGTTGTTGTTGTTGTTGTTATGGGTGTTGCTATTGCTGCTGCTGTTGTTGCTTTTGTTGTTGCTACTGATATTGTTGTTGTTGATGATGGTGTTGTTTTTCGCCGTCGTCGTTGTTGTAAAAATGCCTGACTTGAATTACAGTATCAGTATTATAAATTTATTGAAAGTTCAATGGAATGACATTTTAATCCTTTTGTTAATTATTAAATGGGCGAGGGATACTTTTAGTGAAGAGTGATTAAATACCCTTTAGTTTGTCAACAAATACAAGCCGTTTGAAATCTGCAAGTGATAATAATTTTCTGAGAGCTATGCAATTTCCATAGAGTATAAGTTTCGTCAATAAAGTAATGAACATGTATATACAAAGTGCTCAACGAGTTTGAAATTTCCGGACTACTTTATTGTATTCCTACTGTAAGTACTTGCGGTACACATAATTAGAGTTAATTAGCCCTGGATGCAGCCGCCTCTTGCTATAACATTATATTATTAGTGACACAATTTTTTATGTAAAAAATATTTGTTTCTGGGTCATTTAGCTTAACCGTTTCAAACGCGGTCCTGTAGCGCCTTATGTTTATAGATATCATTTTAGAAAGAAAAAGAGACTTATTTCTCATTTTACATTTTATTTTTTCAGAGTAATGGGTTTTTATCGAGTGCCTCCGGTGACTGGACGTTTTGTAAATATGACTAGGGAAATATTTCTTCTTGCTGATAGGAAATTAAAAAAGACATTTTATGTATCTCCAGGTACGAAGCTTTTGAACCATTTGTCTTTTTCGCGCAGACACTCGAGTCATAAGTTTAAACATATAAGTTACATATTTATTTAAGTTCAAATGCGAAACAAGTACTTGCAACTTATGGTAATCATTTTCGAGTCAGCACCCTGATACCAACCAGTGACGGTGTCATTTTAAAGAGAAACATGGCCCAAGTAGGGCTCGAACCATTATCCTTGTGTTGAGAGGCAGACACCGTAACCTAACGGCAACGGTTCTCTTTTGTCAAGTCATTAGTTGTTTAATGAATACATATAACATCCTGTAAAATTTATCATTTGTTTACAGTCCTTATATGTATACGTAATTTCTTAATTGTGTAGAAAGCTATAAGCTTATAGACACACTTCCGAATCCGTTCCTGGAACCAACCAATACTGAGCAATGGGTGTAAAGTTTCTTGCTCAAGGAAACAACGACATGCCCCTGACGGAGTTTGAACCCATGCGGCTAGCGTTTACTAGCATTAGATTACTAGTATGCCGCGTTAACCACTCGGCCATGCCGCCACTGATCCCATATTTGTCTATAATTTTTCGTTTGTTGATTCATCAACTTTATTTTAATCTTTACACACAAAAGTCAAACAGCTGATATGTCCTACTGTATCAGACAATTTAAAGGCGTATGCTATATAGTTACATATATACGATAACAAAGGGAATCGGGGCGCGGACTGTCTATAAATAAGGCAGTATACTCATTGCTTTATTTTGAGGGATTGAGGTTGGGGATGCGGTTGGATTGAGACCTCAGATCAAATACTCCTTCGTGCAGTATTTTCAGTCACGAACTGGTGACTGAATAGAAATTCTGTCAATACTAGCATTTTAATCCTTAGATTCCCTAAATGAAAGAATGCGTGTCTCTGGCGGTAGTCGAACCCACATAGATCATGTGAAATTGCTTAAGAGCCATCGAACTAAACTTAACGGCCATGGAAACCTTAAGACCGATTCAATTAATATATATTTAAGGCGGATATCAAACTACCGTTCCATTTGCGAGTTTACCTTATCTAATAAAGAGAAATGATCAGGATCCATGCTGTTCGCTATCAGTTTCTCTACTTGTTATACGGTTTGTAAGCGAACAGCATGGATTCTGATCAGACTGCGCGGATGCGCATGCTGGTCTGGATCCATGCTGGTCGCAAACCCATTATGTTGGTTTTGTCATGACGCGGCTTAAATGATTTTAACATTACTTTTGCAGTGGGTAACTTGTGTTTCTTTGGAGAATGTTCATACTACTGTGATAGCCGTCATTCTTTCTGTGGAAATGTTGACATAATTGAGGGCTCGCTCATGGTCTGGTTACCCGAGGGCCCTAACAGCGAACGAGATAGATGGAAGAGCCCATATAGAAGGTAAAATGTTCCGTTGGTACTTTGTCTTAAAATGTATTCATTCATTGTAAGTTTGTAAAAAGTCGTAGCGCTCCGTATGCAGTTAACGTGAAAAAAATCGTTACCATCTTATTTGACTTAAGTAGAGGAACATTGTGTTGACACATCTTTTTAAGTAACTGTTTTTTGTCCCGTGCATGTAAAATAATTTATCGGTAACATAAGATGTGATGAACTTTGTGGGGACAGTAATAGTTCCAATATTGTTTTATCTTTTTTTATGCTTTTACCTTTTACAATATTTGATTGTGATATAAAATGCTTTTGAAAACATTAGCCCTAGTCCCAAGATGTTCTTTTAGTTATCTCCCTCGTCACCCTGCCCGTAGTGTATTGTTGTGGATAAAAGTCGGTTGATGAATTACAGTTTCCTGAGTAGGCAACTTTCATTTTCAGTCAAACAAAGTCGGCAATTTCCTATTTTACTTTGTTTTCTTTGCACATGAGGAATTATAATAATGATATGTTTGTAATTGAGTTCTATTTACAGTTAGAGTGTGTTTGATTTTCCTTGTTTGTTTATTTTCAGATCCTATAGTAAATTCCGCAAAGCCGAATGGGAGAAGGATGAAGATTATTGTAAAAAACTTACAAAAAATCCGCCTTACCTCTACACCAGATTTATCCCAGATCTGATTGATTCTCATGTTTTTGATTTTTTAACTGGTATGCACTAAGGATAGGAATTCTGTCCTACCTTATTTTTGTTATTTGTCATTATTAACGAGGCTTATCGCTTCCCTTTCTTCGAAACGTAACAACTTATTGCATTAAGGAATCGAACGCTCGCTTCAGTCACGTCAATTGACTATACTATTTAGACACACGATTATCATTAGACTATCACTCTTCGAAATGATAATAGTCATGCTCATAGAATAGCCACATAATGTTGTTGCGTGATCTTTACTCTCAGATTCAAGTAAAATGTATAATACCCTACAGAGCATCCCTCATATTGTCTGAGAAGCATCGACTCATCACCACATGCGTAAACTGTGATTTCTATGATAATCGAATCTCTCTCTTAGCATAAAGTGATGACCTGAACTATTAATACTACTTCCAACGACGTGTACGTAAATATAGACTAGAAATAACCTACCTATTGTTAAACCATATATGTTTTCATATCTATCATTTTCATATTAACGTGATCGGTACCATATATTCTATGAGAAATTTGATTTAAATATGAGTCAATTTTTTCTTATCAGGAACAACATGTCATTTAATCGACAACACGTGCTTGAACGTTTTCCATATATACCAACGGACTCCTCATCTGTACCACGCAAATCACACACAATCCTTAATAAATGGTAAAACAACACTCTATCGACGCGGTTTAAGAAGTTGCAGAGATGTTAGTGGAACCGAGAGAAACTAAAAGCTGCCGCTATATCAACTGCTTAGCGAAGTATATGGAACGAGAGGTGTATGTGTTAGATTTGATTTTTAACACTTTTCAAGATTCTATAAAAACATAGAGTTCATGACCTATGTTTGTGTCATATGCAGACAAACGATATTAAATGGAATATTCTGTACACATATCTAAAAATCTTTACATTCATCACTAAATCCTTGTAACCTCATAATGCCGCATACACTGAAATACTGAGAATCTATGATTTGCATTTAAATGAATTAGGAATTCACATATCTATTTGAATTCGGAGATATACGCTCATAGTAACCCATATATTCAAGCAAATTTCTTCCTGATAGTTATAACAGAGATATCCGTGTGTGATCAATTAATATTCCTCGGACAGATTTGCCTGACAATATTGTACAAATATATTTAGAAAATGGTTTTCTTAACTATTTTAAGCTGCGTGGTAACGGATCAGAGAATGAAGTGCAAATGTTGTATGGAATTTCTCGGAAATAATACACTCGTGCAGTCAGTCTGCCAAATCAGAAATCCACACCGTTTATTGAAGCTCGGCCAAAAAGCATATATATAGGACCAGAAAGACTAAGTGAACTGTTAGATAATTCTATGAAAGTGGACCCTGTTTATCCAATACTGCTGCAGGGACATCTAAACGCCGTCGATAGACGTGTTGTTCACGTATTAAGGATTGTTGCTGATTGCGTGGTACAGAGAGGATCCGTTGAAGCAGTGATTATAAATGATGGATACTAGCTTTAAAATTTTGAAATGGTACGTCGATGATAACAATAATGGCGGAACCAGTCAATTCTGTGGAGAGTTGTCGTTCTTTGCATTGATACATGAGAACACGTGACGGATCAATGCACGCGCCTGAGCTTGTATTTTATTTTGTAAAGTACACATTTTTGTCTTCCGTTTGTATTTCTTTGAAGAATTGTTGTTTTTTGAAGAACTTGGCATGGAATCACGTTTTTTTTTTGTTTATTGGTTTGCTTCAAATTTTTGTCTGTAAGGAAATGAGGCCAGGGCAGGCAAGGGTTTGTTAATGACATTTACGAATCTCAAATATTGACTGTGCCATCTACAAATATGTTTTATTTATTTCGTTTTTAAAGTCTAAAATACTGTTTTAACTGATCTGTTGTGCTAACTTGTAAATGTTAAAGATGATTTAGAATTATATTTTAAATAATGCTGTTTACAATTGTTCATATACAATAACGCTTACATTTATTTAGCTTTTCTGTAAATTCGAAACTTTAGTTTCATTTTTGAATACTCATGACATTATGCTTTTATTAGAAATGCTCTAGGAGCAACTTTTGTCAATTGTTATACTGTATTGTTTGTTTGTTTGCCTGCTTAGATGTGTTGTTGTTTTACTATGGAAGAAATGATCAGTGCTTTCGAGTCTCTCCGACCAACTTCGTCACTTTCCGTATTTGATATAATTTTAGTAGGATTTAGCTTCGTTTATATTCGGCAAACATCGTCAATTAGCGTATTTAATGCGTATTTAAAAGTATTCAGACTTTGTTACGCTATAACTTGGAGAATGGATATTCTTGAAAAATCTGTCTTTACGTTAACTAATCTGCAACGCAAACACCAGTCTAATATGACTTATGAAATAAAAAAAAAAAATTAACATGGCTTTGGAACAATGGACATACCTTGTATAGTTTTCTATTTTATTTGTGTGCCAACAGTTAAGGCTACCATGGAAACAAACATCCAAACTTTTTTGACATCGTTGTATATATGATAATATAATGAAGATATGTATGGAGATAGTGCTTTCTTATTGCCTGTCTGTTTGTATTTCAGTTTTACTGAACTTGTTTGTAAATATGCACATATGTATTTTTGTTTTAGTTGCTTTGAAAGCAATGTGAATAATATACGCATTATTTTTTATCCCCCGCCGAAAAGGCGGCGGGGGATATAGAAATAGTCTCCGTCCGTCCGACCTTCCGTCCTTCCGTCCGTCCGTTTCCGACATTGTCCAGAGCATATCTCTAAAAGTATTTGAGTAATCAACTTGAAACTTCATAGGTGCACAAGAATGATAACTCTACCCTGCATAATTTTTGAGTTATTGCCCTTTGTTATTTTTCAAAATTAATTTTTGTCCAGAGCATAACTCAAAAAGCCTTAGAGATATCAAAATGAAACTTCATAGGTGCATAGATCTCACTCAGGAGGTGTGCAGTGCACAAGAATGATAACTCTACCTTTCATAATTTTAGAGTTATTGCCCTTTGTTATTTTTCATACCTAATTTTTCACCCGAGTGGAGCATAACTCAAAAGTGTTTGAGATGTCAACATGAAATGTCATAGGTGGATAGATTTTATTGAGGAGGAATGCTGTGCACAAGAATGATAACTCTTCCCTGTACAATTTTTGAGTTATTGCCCTTTGTTCTTTTTCATATTATTTTTGTCCGGAGCTTATCTCAAAAAGTATTTGAGGTTTCAACTTGAAACTTCATAGGTGGATGGATCTCATTGAGGAAGAGTGCAGTGCACAAGAATGATAACTCTACCCTGCATAATTGTTTAGTTATTGCCCTTTTTTATTTTTCAAAATTAATTTTTGTCCAGAGCATAACTCAAAAAGGCCTTTGAGATATCATTATGAAACTTCATATGTGCATAGATCTAACTCAGGAGGTGTGCAGTGCACAAGAATGATAACTCTACCTTTTTAATTTTAGAGTTATTGCCCTTTGTTATTTTTCATACTTAATTTTTCAATTCAATTGTTTTCTCATAAAGTATTTGGGGTATCAACTTGAAACTTCATAGGTGGATAGATTTTACTGAGGAGGGATGCAGCACACAAGAATGATAACCTACCCTGCATTATTTTTCAGTTATTGCCCTTTGTTATTTTCAGCCATCAGTATTCACATAGGTTTCAAATCTGTAATCACTATAGCCATCAGTTTTCATTACCAAAAGACCTCTTAAAATGGAATTATTCTGCTGTACTACATATACATTCTTCCAATGAGCAAACACATTCGGCGGGGTATGGCCATGTTGACATGGCTCTTGTTTAATTTACTATTTACTGTTTTTAACCTTTTAAGTGATAAATAAGAATGTATGTCTCATATAAAGCTGAATATTTCTGTTGATTTGTATCTTATCAATGGACAAAAAGTCAATCTGCAATGTTTTCACTTATATTTCAAAGCTTTTGTCTGACCTCCCAATTTTACAGAATGTATGGACTTACGGTAATGAGTGCTAAGTGGCGGTTGTAAAGGTCGCCCACTTCCTGTTATCTTTTTTATCGGAATCATTATCGGAATCATTTAAGTAATCAAAAATAGCATATTGCTTTAGTCTTTTATATGGCCTTTAGAAAAACTTTATTCCAATACTTTAAGTATTATAGATAATACAATTGGTGCTTGGGACTGTGTTGCATTTACCAGTATTTCTTTCATCAAATTTCCACATATAGCATTGATGCCTATTGTTCTGGGGTGGGTGGATGGGTGTTTGGGATACGGCGTTTTAGAAAACATGATATGTGTTGACCATGAACCGATCACAAGACAAAGCGCAGGGTGGTGGTGGGGTGGGGAGCACACTACCAGTTATGGACATTTTATCTTACGCCAATAGTCATGTTTTGATATGTTCAACTGATTCATTCCATATGATTTTACAATACATTTGCGTCAAAGACCCTATTAAATATAAAACAATTTCATAAGTTTGGTCTGAAATATGTTTCAATGTTTCAGATAAATAAAATTTGTCATTAAATTAATCTGATTTCGGTTTGCATATTGAATATTGTTAAATATATACATACATGTATAGTTTAAAGGGACTCCACTGAAGTTTTTTTGACATGTCAGACTGGAAATATAGTTTCGAGATTAATGTTCGATTGATGTAGATCTAGACCAATAACTTGTGTGCAAAATTGCACATCATTTGCTCACTCCGTATTTAAGCTTTTGTATGTAAGAAATTAAAGTTTTATGTACCTCCGTGGAGTTCCTTTGATGCTATACAAGATATTAATAATTGACAGTCACTCCATTTTTGATACTATGAACAAATAAATATATTAATTTATTTGACTTATTTGATCTTCACGACTGTTTTATTAACGTCATATAATTGTGACGTAGTATGATGTCCATTATAGAACAACGTACATACATTGTACATACAGTTTAACCTTTGCAGACAGACCCTCTTCCCCGAAGTTAGCGTTCACAATAAAATCTACCTCTCTAGAACAACACCTCTTATTGGGTCTTTACAAACAAAAATCTTCTCCAAAAAAAAAAACAAATTGCTCTGCAGAGGATGTATACACATCTAGGTATTCGTCTTTATTTAATGATTAAATGTTCTGTTACATTTTAAACTGCTCAAGGCAGTTTCCAGTTTCATTTCGATACAAACTAAAATAAAACCAGTTGAATTGGTATACTGCGAACTCAAAGTCTCAGGTGCCTGAATTCCTGTATTGTATTATAACAAATACAAGACAGACCACTTATAAAAGAGCAAGACATAAGAAAGAGCTGGATGCCTAACACACCGTATCTCGGACAGCTTCCACCCATAGATTAAGTGCCTTTAAATGCCCGGTAGTCAATGATTATATTAAGTTTCCGGAACTGCTGCAACAGATATCATTGCGTCCACAACTCCCGAAATTGCAATATAGAATATGCATTGTTATATTAAAAAATCTTGTCAATATCCCTCTGATAACATAAGTATAGGCGACTTCTTGGTGGAGTATTACTGCAAGTAATTACTACTGCTCTCTAAAACATTAATAACCTTTAAAAAGATTTACCAAGAATAAACTGAAGCCATGTACGTCTTTGTTTTAGAAAAAATATGCAATATGTGTCGTTTCGTTTGCTCAATTTAATAATTATACTATTTCACAAGACATTGACAACATCGATTTACTTCTTACCAACAAATTCAATTCTTTATTTCACTAATTTAATGGTAAACATGACATAATGAGGCTTTGCTTTTAATTTGATTTGATTGGGTTTCACGTCACACCGACACAGTATAGGCCATATGGCGAAGTGCCTGCTTTTTTGGTGGATGAAGACTTCAGGTGCCCTTCCATGCATTATTTCAGGCACGGATGGGAACCTGATTAGAGCCACCGACATTCCGTTAACTAGATGGATAGCTTCCGCACATGAAAGAATCCAAAGTCCCTGTCGGGATTTAAACCCACAGCAGTAAGGGCACATAATGACAGTGAACAAAGAAACAATCCGAACTAATTTCAGAGTCATTTGGAATGCGATGGTTTAACTGATCACGAATATCCCAACACTGTAGAATAAATATACAGAAGAAATGTAAAACCAAAAGTTGGTTGAGTTCTTTGTCACCTACACTTTAAAGGTGAACACAATGTTACATCTTAATGGTAGAAAATGACCCTCCATGCAAGTTTTTAGGCATGATCATTCATTGAAATCAAATAATATAGAAGAAACAGAATCCAAGTACTACACAGCCTCTTGTTGAGAACGAAAAAAATATTCAAAACGAGACTGCAAATTTGGAGTGCTCTCCCTTGTTTAAATTTTGATTATCAACTGTATTTCTTTTAATTAATATATGAGAAATAATGATTACTAGCAGACGACGAGAAGGGATAATTTTTGACGCTATAAGGAATCACTTTTCAATCCGTCTTGAAATTTGGCCGTCAGCACATTTTAAGTGGTTCCATTTCACTGACTTCCGGAACCACTTGGCGCTGCCTACAAATTGGTTCAATGTTTCAAGGCTCTTTGACTCATTAAACATTATTAAATATATGCCCCTTAGACATAATTATGTCATGAAACTGGTTGTTTTACAGAGCCTTTACACATAATACGTAAATTAAAAAATGTACATGTCAAATTGACTAACTGAAAGTGTTTGCTTTCTTTCTACCATCACAAAAAGTGTTTTATTACGGACAATTGACCAAGGGACTATTCACAAAGTGAAGTAAGTTTCCCTTTTAACTATTTCTTGTATTTAGTCTGGTTTTACATTTAAACGTTCGTTTCTATGACAAATTGCACGTGCATATAAACAGTTTGAGAGTTTGACATTTGCCCAATTACTGCTCTTGTTCGTTATAGGCGAGAACCTCTTCTCTGCTATGATCACCGCTGTATGAACACATCTGCAGATGTTTCTAAATTCAAATTTTCACCGCACTTTAACATGTTATAATGATGAATTCTGCTTAGGCCGGTGCTAGGGGACGGTGACGGTAGCTTAGACTTTCCAGTACTGTTCATGAACAGAATAATTCAAACCGATTCAGCTACATGTTCTATTTTGCTATTTTGCATGTTCTTTAAGGGTTCCGTATTTCTTTATTTTAATATAAAGGGTAAAGATGGTGTCGCACTGTCTTGACTGTCTTGCTGAAGCACACACATCAGTGTTCTTGCTGATGTCACGTTGCTTTTCCGAATACAATTCAACAAACATTTTAGATATATTGTTCACGATTCAACTCTGTTTAGTAGAATCTGCTTGTATATATATTTTTTTATTTCATTTATTTCCTACAAATGCTTCTGTGAATCCTAACTTCAGAAACAATATTTCTGTTGTTTTTCAGCTTATCTTGAACAAGAACAGAAAAAAATACATACTGAAAAATGAAGTACAAAGCCCGTGTGATATTTACGTCAGTTGTAGCGGCAACGTTTCTGATCTACGTCATATTGTTTGCGGAGCTCTCTGCGTATGAAGGTCCGAAGGAATGTCCTCTGCGGAAAAACGAAACAAAGGTAGGTATGGGGCTGGGGAAAGTCAAACTTCTATATGAAACAATATCTCTATAATAGAATAGTGACCAGTTGTCATTTTTCGTGTCTTTTAAAGATAAAGAAAGCATTTTTTATGACCATGAAGATCCTTGTCAGTTTAAATGCTTTATATTTTATAATACGGAAAGTGGCGAAGTTGGCCGAAGTTTTACCAGGCTTAGCTTTTTCCCAATGTATACTGTGCGTTCATTAAAGTAGCAACAGTTTTTCTTTACAGTAATATATTTTTGATTATACATAGTTTAATAAGGATACAAATATTTGCAGACTGCTTTAAAAATCCGGCATCTGATCAGTTTTTTGCACATAGTCGGCAATCTTTGTTTTTTCGTACTTTGTACTTGAAAGAGTGGCAAGTTTTTTGTTCTCAGATGGTATATTTTGTTGTTACTTGAAATTTTAATCGTCTTTTTTTATATAAACTTAATTATTCGTTTCAGACAACTTTATAAGTTTATTTATATTGCTCTAGAGTCAACCTTCTCGCCGTATAAGTATAGAAAGTTGATCATATTCCCAGACAGGCTCCACCCTGAAGAATAGACACCCGAACCACTAATAGAAAACATTGAGTCCCTAAGGAACGCCCAAAACGGCTAAATTAAATAGGCTCTGCATGACTGAGTCTGTTTATGAATAGTGGTTCCAAATGCAAGCTGCCTTACATGCCCCCCTAGTACCAGCTTGTCGAATGAAGCATTATTCAACATCTAGTCGTGACAATCGTTAAATTTGAAAATTAGAAACCACCTGCCGATGTTTTAGCCACTGATCCCCTTGTAATGCTTAGAACAGATGGTTGAAAGTGATATATAAGTGGTTAACGCATCGGACTAGTAATCTAAGGATTGCTGACCGCTAGGGTTTAAACGCTGTCAATGGCAAGCCGTTGACATTTACTTGAGCAAGAAACCTTACATTCATTGCTTAGTACTGGTTGGTTCCAGGAACTTTTTCAAGTGTTTCAATAGGCTTATAGCTTCCAACACGAACTAAAATAAATTTGTATCAACTTAAGTGATATATTCTTGGTATAATTAGTTAAATACATGTGTTTTATAATTCAGCTTAAATTCAACTTTTACTATATTCAACTTTTTTATTTCATTGCCATGGTTATTAGGATGTAATACCTATAAAATTCAAAAGAAACATAACTAGAGAGATTCCTGACGACACTAGTAAACATGTAGATCAAGATAATAAACAAGACAAAAGCAAACCACCTGCAAAGCCGTTGATGTATAACCAAGACGTTGAGAGGTATAAATCTGAGCCTTCAATAATCAGCATGCAAGTTTTAAAGAAACAAACAAAAATAAGTAAGATTTTGAAATAAAGAAATAGTTTACATTTGAAAACGATAGGGACAGTGTTTAAATTTGATAAAGATGGCATACAGGTAACTGGTCTGAATTGAAATAATGTCTTTCAAATGTTGCTGGGGAATGAATGCTCTGGTAGTGGTGGTGCTGGTAGTTTTCACTCCGAATCACATAGTTTTCACTCCGAATCACATTAAATTTATCAGAGCGCAGTTCAACCACCGCATCCTGTCAAGCAGTTTACTAGTTGCCTTCAATTTCACAAGGACCTGGTAACGTTTGTACAGGCCAGAGCACAGGTTAGGGCGAATGGTCGTAGAAAGGATTTCATGATGGGACCCGCACCGACCTTCCGGGAATCGAACAAGGGTAGCCCGATTTCCAAAGCACTACCTTTTGAGCTAACCGGGCGATTAAATGCTTTTGCCCTCCATTTATTCTTGTATCAAAATGGAGCGGACACCTGTCCAATCATATGGCTCATTCCTGAGGCGAGGGTAATCAAACTATTTAAAGACACACACTGGGTACCATAGTAGGAGCCTTCGACCTTCTGTTAGCTAGATGAAGTCCGAGGACATAATTATAATTGTTCGTAGTATTTGTGACGTTTGTAAAACTGACATTAAACAAATTGCATCAATAAACCTTTAATTTTAAAATCGTCATTATCCCGGGACTTCTTTGCCTCAACAATGTTGACGATTTCGAAATCTTTGAAACACAAAGAAATTTACAAACTAGTCTAAAATGTTGACAGACTAGTCAAAGTTGTTTACAATAACTTTGATTTTATGTTTTCTAGGCTTTTGGATACAATTGATCATTTGAGCTCATTTGGTTACAATAGGGAGGAACTTCGGGAGGCTAAATTTACGGATATGGCATCAGAACTCGGCAGAACATTCAAGTTGAAATCTAAATTATTACTACAGTGGGGCAGTCACGAACACTCGTAAGTTATCGATTTGATTATCAAAAATAACTATTAACCATTCACACGGAAATATATATTTTTATGAATGCAGAAAAAGAGGCCATAACTTATTTTTCTATTATCGGTTAGATTTTGCAATGATGCAAAAACAAGTGCTCAGGGCAATAACTTTTATGATGATTTCATAATCTGCCCAATATTTCTTTTGAAGTGCATGTTCCAATTCGGCAAGACTGTTTAAGGAGAGATCTTCCGGACCTAATTTGCCGATTGTATATCATATTAATGTTCAACTTTCTGGTGTGTTATGATATATAAGTATGTTTTCTTGTAAGCGAAGGCACATCAGATACTCACACAGTTTGCTATGTTATTGGTATTAACTTACAGTATATTTGTTGAGAACTGAATTGTAAAAAATATATCTTTAATTTAATTTTATTTCACAAGGGTTATTGGCATATAGTTTTGAATCCTTTATTGTCAATGTCGACATGCTTCAAGTAAGTTCGTAAGGCTGTCTCCGTGCCCTAGTAGCTGGCAAAATCCTAGTTGGTTAAACACAACATACCTAATAATACTTAACTTTACTATCAACTTTTGGTTTCAACGGAATCATAAAATAATGTGTTATTCAGTGAAACAGTGATAATTTAACAGCTTTTAATTGTGAGTTTCATTGCTTGACAATATGTAATTAATTGAAGGTAAAACATCATAACAAAAGCCTATAGTAGCTTTATTTTGAAATCTTGATTATTAATGTAAAAGCGTTCATCACTTTGTAATGATGTCACGACAGCAGGGAAATCTTATTATTTAGTATTATTTTGGACAAATGATAAATGATATATATATACATTTCGATTTATACATATCCAATTTAGCAATGAATTTTATAAATTCAAATGGTGTTAAAGTTTTTTTTTATTTTGAATTTAAAAAACCATGTTTTTAGATAGCTGTACATAGTTTATTTCTTGGATCAGTCACATTTCACATTTCCAGGGAAGAAGGTGACGACAACTTTGTAATGTTTCACCATAACATACGAGCCGGGGCACTCTACAATCCTGAAGACAGACACATTGATGGTTTGCTGCATGACATGGCAACCGACAAAATCAAATCTATAGGTATCATGATTTCACCTTGACCGTGAATAATTAATTTCGTCGCACCAACACAGTGTAGGTCAAATGGCGACTTTTCAGCTTTACTGGAGGGGGAAGACCTAGGTGCCCTTCCGTGCATTATTTCAGACCCGAAAGGGCACCTGAGTAGAACCACCGACGTTCTTTATACTAGCTGGATAGCTTATTCACAAACCCTGTCGGAATCTTTATAACTAGTATATGGCGGATAAGTACTGCATATTGAATTTAGAGTAAAATCAGGGCGTCGATAAATGCCAGTTTCTTCTTTGGAGACCTGTATGTATCACTTTTTTGAGAAACATGACTATCAAAACTTAATTTGGTCTAATTGTTTGCATGGAATCATTTTTTATCGAAGTTGATGGAAACATGAACAAAATATTTTAACTTTGAACTATTTATAGTTTACTCAAATTTCTGAAAATTTGTGTGCTGTATGTTTTTGTTTTCCTATATACAGAGGTCATCCCAGAAGGGACCGAGTTCAAACTTCTGATGAGGTTTTGGAAAGGCACAAAATCTATTTTTAAACCCATGAGGTAAGACGCATTCTTTACCATATCATCAAATGTTAGTTTACATGGTCTTTTTGACAATTACATGTATGGATGTGTTTCATTTGACAATCTCCCTGTGTAATTTTCAGGATTTTAACTTGTATGTAACGAACAAAAGAAAACGGAATGAAAATTATAAATATTCCTGGTTTAGACGCCGGGGTCTATTCCAGGATATAGCCAAACGTTGTCCCAATTTTTATCACAGAATTGTTACAGTTAAATGGTTATTCGTGTTCATATGTTTCAATGCTTTCAGTGTGCAAGATGGAATACTGCCTCAGGCGGTGCTAGGGGGCTTATGAGATGTTGCATTCTTCGATATCTCTTCATTACCTATCTTTTCGTTTAATTGCTCTCAATGGACAATCCCTTTACATACATAGTATCGCCAGAATAAGTCTTTTATAGGTCAAAACCTTTTGTTCTATTATGCAAGTTTTATGTATTACTGCAAGTCACACAATTATTTGCGATGGCGGCAATTGTTTTTAGGGCGGGCACTTCCTTAGATGGCATACACGACATAAAAACTGCATTCTTTGTTACAACTTGTGAAAACATAATAAGGTGTGTCTGACCATTGACTCAAAGTAAGGCTCAAACGGTGTACAGCTATATCTTATATAACATATTTTTTTATAAAATTTATCATCAGTAAAATCATTATGGTTCCATAATCTTATAGTTGATTCTCAAAATGTTGTAACATAAAATGTCTCTTTTATTTAACACTTATGAATAGTGTACGTAATTATAATAAAATGTTCCGGAACATAATATAATTCTACTGTTCAGAAATGATTTTGTGCATGCGCCATTCGCTTTTAAGGCAATTTACTACCAAATCTGCACCGCCTCCGTGGTCGAGGTGTTAGAGTCGATGACTTCTAATCCAGTTACCTCTCTGGCGTGGGTTCGATCCCCAGGAGATACTTTGGTAGTTTAGCAAGGTGGAAGGTAGTCTAGTACTGGTGTAACTGTCCAGGAACGATGGTTAGGAAACTATCCGCCTATATGACTGAAATACTGTTGGGAAAAGGCGTTTACAAAATGAAACAAACAAACACACAAACAAACAAAACAACCATTTCTATTTCATACAACCATTTTGGGAGTATTCCTTTTTAAAATTCAAGCAATATATTTTGCAACAGATACATAGCTGTATACACTTAATTTAATTGCTGCAAAAATAATATTGAAAACATAATATATCTTTATACACTTTAATTACTACAAAAAATATAGAAAAACAAATGTTGTGACAGCTAATAAATGATCGTATTACAAAAGTGACTCGGACTACGCAGAATGTTGCAATTTAAAAAGTATATACCTTACACTCAAAACATAAATGCTGCAATATTAAACTTTCAGATGGGGGAGAGACTATGAGACATTGCCAAACCATTTTTATTT